ATTTAATTGACATTTCGACTGAGTCGACTTGCTGTAATACCACCCAAACCTTGGATAATTTACATTTGCTGAAAATTGAATTAAGTATAAAAGTCAAGTTGAGCTCATTCTTTTGTGTGCTACCGTAATCGTTAAAGACATCGTAAAAAAAAAATCTTTTAAAAATCATTCTAATATTTTTTTGACGTTAGATGTCTGTACTCGTAAATGCAAAATATCCTAGGTTTTTGTTTGTCTAACACTTATTATAGATTTATTAAATATCAATCAATGTAAGTTATCATTCCAAAGTTACTTTAACAATGTTAATAAATGAGCTTCCAGATGATTGTTTCCTGGAAATCTTTGATTACATTCAAGATTTAAAGGATTTAATTAACTGCTTCAAAGGTAAGTGTAAATCAAGCTATTTGTTTAAATTGTGAAATGTGAGAGATGTGGAGATCAAATCTCAATAAAATATATCCGTTGAGTGCTAGATCTAACTTTTACGAATACGCCTCTATTCTGTGATGAAGAAATAGTATACTCTTTGATGATGAATATTGTTTATCATCTGACTATTGAAGTGCCTTATACGGATATTTTATGTCATTTTAATTTGATATTAACTTGAAAAATTTTAATTGCAGTTTGTATAAAATGGCGTAATTTGATTGTTGCTCGGACTAAAAAAGTTAAATATTTTAATGGTAAGTTTTAAATTTTGATTAATGCTCATTCTATCATTTCCTAATAAAATCAATTATTAATTTCAGATCAACCCAATTATTCGCCTGATTCAGTTTGTCATCAAACAGATGATCCAATTGATGTAACATTTTTGAGCAAATGGCTTCCAAATTTAAAGGTAAGTTAACAGATTTGATATTGATTCACTTTCGTTTTTGGAAGTTTAATTTTGATACAAATCTTATCCAAACAAATTGCCGACCTTTTATACACACGCAATGGGGAAACACCGATCGAAGATATTATTAAACTAATTAGAGACTCAGAATCGCTGAAAGGAATAATCTATGGTTATCATTACTGTATGGATTACCGCCTCGATTTCGAATCGATACCGGAAAACCCTAACCTCGAAATGTTATCTACTGGATACATTGATCTAAACATAAAGGAAATCAATGAAAATATGAAACAATTGTACCTCTGGGACTCTACTCTAGATGTATTTAAAGAAGTCGCACATCATTTTCCAAATCTTGAACGATTGAAAATTTATAATGGCGAAGGTACACTTCATTTAAAAAAATCTAGGATTTTTTTTGCAAAAACTAACAGACAGCTTAACCTAGCTACAAACTTTGCACCGACCCTTTCAATTTTGTTATTGATTTGATCCTTTATTGCCACTTGGTCAATTAATGATTTATGAGTAAATTTTGATCGGTTATTTTGAAATAATCCTCAGGCACTGTAACTCTTTTTGCAAAAAATCGAAGGTCTACTTTATTATCTTTTTAACTGTTTTTTGACCAACCTTTTCATGTTTAGACAATACAGATTATTACTTAAATGGTCCAGTGATAGCGAATCTTAAGATAGTTGATTTGGGGTTGTCTTCTTATTATTTGACAGACTTTTGCTGTTCATTTGTATTCATGGATTCGTGCCCAGCATTACAGAGTGCTTATGTCAAAATTGATTGCTGTCGCATTATCGTCAATGGTTCAATAAAATGTACAAATTTACAAGATTTAGTTATTCAATTTGTGAGTAGAATTTTGCTTC